TACTTCTTTCTACTACTACTACTACTACTACTACTGCTACTACTACTGCTACTACTGCTACTACTACTACCACCACTACTACTACTGCTGCTCCCACTGGGCTTTTGAAGGATGCAGCAGGCTAAGCTCTAAGAACTCCGCCTCGAACGTGGGACATTTAGGGCAGTACCTGGCTGACCTCTCGAGCGTGACCAGCCGAAACCTGCCACCAGTGTTGCCAGATTTTCAGATGGCGAAACCATGCACTAAACACCCAAACTCCCAAGCCTGACATCTACCTAGCTAGCTTCTGTCGATGCGAAGCAGAGGGATGTTTCCCAAAGATCTCAAAAGCGTGGAATGCCAAACTATGGAGGGAACTGGACATGCATTATGGATCACGGAACGGATAGTGATTTCTCGTCTGAACCTTCGAAAACGACTACGCTCTGCAGAGCATGCAGAGGACATGAAGCGCAAAACCCTGAACGAACAAGTCGTACGATCGGTAGCATAGAATGCTCGACAAACTCGCTGTCTGAGCTTAATTGAAGTCCAGGTCCCCTAAACCTTAAACCTCACTAAGGTTGCCGGCACTTGATCCATGGACTTACGAGTAGACCCTGAGAGGACGGACCTGGCCCGGGCCCTGGCCCGGAGGCCGCGTCGGTCGCACGACCTCCTGGCCGGCGGAGGCTTTGCAGTGGGAGCTGATATGTGTTGCCTCCTGCATTGCTGAGCGAATATGAATAATCCAATGGAATCCATACTTCACAGACTTAACGAATATATGCACTTCTATACCGGTATACATGCATGTATGGATACATACATACGTACATACACACATACATATCTTTTTGGTGTCCGGGGAAGTGTGGGTGGAAGTTTTGTAGCCCCCTCCAATATCTACTTCTAAAACTAGTATCACGAATTTCATTTATTTATATATTCTAGATGTTAGTGCATATTGCTTGCCATTTAGCTATCTTTATGGTTTCTACCGCTCTAAAAACATCAGTATAATGACTATTATTCTGCTCTATGGTATTGCTTACAAACAGTTCATAAAGTTCATTCATGTATATGTGCTTGTATATGTATACACGTATGGATATATGTATATGTGTAGACAAACAGATTTATATATGTAGTATATGTTTACATGTGAATGTATATATATATATACATATACATATATATATATATACATATGTGTGTGTGTGTAAGTGGGGGTGCGGGTGTGTGAATGTAAGCTTATATATTCAATCATCCCCATGCAATGTTTGATCAAGTTTGCGCCTTTAATGGACAAGCAGCCAACAGAACCAAACAATGCCAAAATAAGCAGCAAAAGCAAAAGAGCAAAAACTAACAACATGTTAACAAGCCAATATTTTGGCCGTCCTGAAATCTGGTGCCCGAAGTTCCAAGAGTTCCGGAATAATGTCGTTGTTGGTGCCTTTGTTGTTGGTGGTTCTTTTCGTATTTTGGCTTTTTCGGTTCCTTCGCATTTTTTCTACTGTGCATATTCGGAATGGTCGGGATGCCTTCAAACCACCCAACACGCGCACGCCCAGGGCACCCCGTTTTGACCTTTCGCGCATGTATGCGAGTATATATATATATATATACACATAGAATGCAGAATTATAAAGATAGGTAGAGTGATAAAGAACATCCACTCTATCGCTGCACCGACATCTCCTGGACGAGTTCAACCCCAGTGCCCAATGGCCAATCGAGGCAAACATCGGGGACAGGCATGTGTAGCGGGCCCAGCCTCCCACTCTGGATACAAATTGTGGAGGCAAAGCAACCGGCAGTCACCGGCTGTTCGGCAAGACGGGATCCAAGCTATGCTTTGCTGCTATTCCCACTCCTGCGGCTCCGGCTCCCATGGTGGCAATGACGGGAGCCCTTTTCGCTCCTGCGGGATGGACCACAGATGGCTTGAGCATGCAACGGAGTTCGTGCTGGGGTGCAGCGAGCAGCATATCATGTCTTGTAAACTTGTTCTGATAAGCACCTCACATGTCACCAAGCTCTCGAATCTTGTGTCATGGCTGCTGCCCTGAGGCCTCCAACTTAAAACGACACATCACACCGACTGCTTGCTGAAAATCTTGAGCACCGCTGCTCAAGCTTGCACATCCCCAAAACATACATACTATCACGGCAAGGCTGTTTCACTTGTGCCGGCGCTTTTGCCTCCTTGAAGCCTTTTTAGGCCGCTGCTTAGAGAGCCGGTGTCTCCGTTCCCTCTCATGCTCCACTGCTTGTGGCAAGAACACGTTGAAGTAGAAGTGCCTTCAGGGCGATGCGACTGGGCTGTTTACAGATCCACAGAGCTGCCGTGGGCTTCCCAAACCACGCCTCAAAGACGGGAACATGGCCTTCTCCCAAAGCTCAGCATCGAAAAACTCTCGTCGACAGGTCTGCTCTGCCTCTGCTGCAGAATTGCAAACGTGCAATTCTTACAAGCTGTAAACACACATGCTTTTGATACCCCGCGCTATGACCGCTGCAAAAACAACTTTCGGACCCGGACGGTGCCAAATGTCATATGTCACACTTGAAGATCTACGTCCACATGAAACCGACAGCTTTGCTGAATTTAGGCTGCCATGCACGTACCATGAATATCCTTGGGTTCATCGTGTGAACTGAAGACGAGATGCAGGAGTCCAAAAGAAAACATCGCACCAGGGAATTTCGGTTCCCAATGCGGCAGCAGCTATGCGCATGCCTCGCTTCACCGATTCGACTTGAAGAAACCCGGGACCCAGACTATGTTACTCAGGACTCGGAATGGCGACTACCGATGATCAGCACTATCACTACGATGTTGCAAATCCAGCATTGACAGACTGCAGCACTTGTCAGACAAACACTAATTTCACAACAAGGCGCAGCCATGGACTTGGTACTTCCAATCCATCGGGAGATCCTGCTAAAAGCGTGTTTGCTGCTTTGCTCGTCCTGTAGGCGGGTGGCTTGCTGCCGGGGCCAGGCTAGAAATCGCATCCTGGCTACGAGTCGCAGAATGCTACCAAGCCTCACAACTTGTTTGCAACGGGTGTGCAGATTCTATGTGCCCGGCAACACTTTCGAGCAGGACTCATCTTGGAATGTCCTCACTTTGGAAGATTCCATTCCACTCTTTGGCGGTCTTGATCTCCAAGAGCCCCTGAAACCAGCAGAATGTTTGGCTAAGGACGGTGGGCTTTTGCTGGTGTGCTTGTCTGGGCTGAGCGTCGCATGCAGGTAGCATGTCTTCATTTGAGATCTTCATACATCCCGAGATGACTTTACAACACGGAATGTAGAGGGAAGCTTTACTTTACCCAAGCTGTGTGCATCTACAGCCTCCATATAGATTGTGGTCACATAGCCTGAAATGCCGTTGCAGCTTCAGACGGTAGGCCCGGTAGACGAAAACAAGTCCACAGCCTCCGAAAGGAATGCAACTCCACCGATATCCGTCGATCCTCCGGCTTCCCTTGGAGGATGCACAGCCCATCCGGCGAGCCGGCGAGCCACGGTTCTTGCAGCCACACACAAAGCCCTCCAGGGAAGTGGAATGGTACAAAAATAAATGACAAGTTGTGATATACTTTGAAAACATGATGTTCAAGAAAGTTTATGGGTTCTCGATGCAATGATGCCGATGACTACAGGATGACTACAGGCGTGCCGCCACTGCTAGTGACGTGCTCCTGCCTAACTCTCCGGGCGTGATGATGTTTGGCTAGATTGCTGCTGTTGCGGGTCGCGGTTCACGTAGTTCTGCTCGTCCTCGTCGTTGCCGAAGTCGTAATTAATGAGGATTAATGCTACCATTGATTGGCCCGCACTCCTACTCCTACTCCTACCGCAACTGCTACGACAATGACCACCACTACTACGACAATGACCACTACCACTACTACTACTACTACTACTACTTCTACTACCACTACCACTACCAC